AATTTTTTTGGATTCACGGTTGAGATTGGGTATTGGAGGTTAAGTATATTGCTCCAGCTTTACCTTTTTTCTGTGAACGGGCATGATATCTTAGATTTGGAGGCTCATGGCTCCAAATTTATACGGGTCTTCCACTCTTTCTCTAGGACTGGAAAGTGACTCCTTATTTATGATATGCATTTCTGGAAGGGGGGTTGGAGGACCGTGGAGCATTATCTTTCTTTTTTTGCTCACTTGCCTTCTTGCTTGTTTATTATTTTCACAGTTTTTGAGCTGCAGGTTTTTGAATTTTGAGATTTGCTCGTTGCTGCTATATCCAGCTTTCAAGACGTCTGGTTTTTGGCTTGCAACTTGCGCTACCTTCTGCTTTATTGGTTAAACATGTTCATATGGGGTATACTTCAATTTTTTGGTATACGTTTTGATTGGATACATGTATATTTTGCTTTACATTTACCTTTGTTTCATCTTTATTTCTTTTTTGGGTAGAGTTGTCATGCGGAAAAAGGAACCCCTGAGACTATATGTATTTTTTTTATTTTTAGCGGGGATCCTTTTTCCCTCCAATATTTTGTAACCGCCTTTGTTATTAACGCGTAAGGAGCTATGAGTAGCTCTTTCTATAAAAAAATATATATATGGATAAGGAAAGAAATCCTAGCCTAGTTGGCGTGGAACTCCCCTCTCTTCCCAGTTGTCCCACATTTGAATCCCTTGGCCTTTATGTAAAGTGGAATTATCTTGCAAGTGGCTGAGAGCAGCTGGTGGAACTGGTCGGCGACTCACTAGGTCATTATCGGGTTGTGTCGCAGGTATGGATCATGATTTGTGTTGTGATGTCATGGATTTCCATGGGTGTCGTAGGATTGCATGGATATGAGCCTGATCAAAGGGCAGAGCGGGTTGCAATGGTGGGGTGGCCAATGAACGGTTTGTGATCTGCGTGATGCGGATCGGATGTCACTCCCAAGCCGCTTTGTTTTGAGGATCAAATACCATGGACAATGAATTGTGCATGGAACGGGCCAGATTTGTGTGGAATTGCGACCCGACCATTAATTTGAGCTAAATCTAATCGTGGAGGTGGGGCAGTCGTGGTAGACTTTAATTTTGGTCCTTTTTAGCTAATTGTTTGCCCCTTTGAGCCGATAAAAGGGGCCAAAACGAAAAGAAAAATCTGAGTCACTTCACCAAGCCTTTCAAAGGGGATTCTTATGGGGAAAAGTTGGAATCTCCTCACTCACATTCCAAAGAGGATACTTGGTGAAGAAAAGTTGGAATTTCCCCTCTATGCATCATGAGGGGATTCCTTGTGTAAGAAGAATGGAGTTTCCTAGTTGGGCATTCCATAGGGGATTCTTTGTGGAGAAAAATTGGGGTTTTCCACTGCGCATCCTAGAGAAGATTCTTCATGGAGAAATATTGGAGTCTCCTCGCCATGCATTCCAAAGGTTCCTTTGTGGAGAAAAGTTAGAATTTTTCAGCCATGCATTCCATAGGGGATTCTTCATTGAGAAAAGTTGAGCCTCCCCACCATACATTTCAAAGGGAATTCTGCACGGAGAAAAGTTATAGTTCTCCACTGCATATTCCAGAGGAGATTCTTCGTGGAGAAAGATTGGAGTCACCCTATTGAGGGATTCTTCGTGGAGAAAGATTGGAGTCACCCTATTGTGCATTCTAGAGGATATTCTTCATGGAGAAAGATTGAAGTTTCCCCTTCACGCATTCCATATGGGATTCATCATGGGGAAATATTGAAGGCTCCCCTCCATACATTTCGGAGGGCATTCTTCAAGATAAAAAATTAGAATATGTCTATCGCGCATTCTGAAGAGGATTCTTCATGAATAAAAGTTGGGGTTTCCTTATCACACATTCAAGAGAGGATTCTTCATGGAGAAAAGTTGAAGTTTTCCTACCATATATTTTAGAAGGAAATTTTATGAAGAAAGATTAGAGTTTCCCCGCCGCACATTCAGAAAAGGATAATTTATGCTACTGTGACATTTTTTAGAGGAGATTTTTCTCTTAACTATTATTTTTTCAAAGGAGAAATTCTATGCTGTTGTCGCACTTTCTGGAGAAAAATTTTTATACTTCAAGACGCTGATGTCTGGAGAATCCCATCATCCCCAAAATAAAAAAAGTGCCTGAATTATGACGAGGCTATGTACAACATCCAAAGATTAGTTATTCATTACTTCGAGGGCATGAAAGACTAAGCTTGAAAAGATTGACCACCTTCTACGAGAGCAAGAGAAGGTGAATGGACTATGCAAGCTTCTTAAGCGAGTATGTTAGCTCTTGAAGAAGAGAAATTAAATTTGCAAGCCTCTTGATGATGAAGAGGATGATGTAGTCAATTAATGTCTTTATTTTTGCTATCCAGTTGTAGCTTCTGTACAAGTGTGTATTGATCTTTGTAGCTTTTCAGTCGCCAGATAAGACATTTATGCATAGTAATAATGTGTTTATCTGTATGTCTTTCTTTTATTTAATATTGTAAGAATTTTCTACTTCACTAGTAAGTTTGCTTTCGCATTTCTTCCCGAGTTGTTGTTGCCCCTCTTCTGAGTTGTTTTGCCTCACTTTTGGGGCGATATTGCCCAACTTCTAGGATATTAACACCCAACTTCTGGGCGGCTATTGGTGCTTTCATCTCCACAGTAAGAGCGTAGTTTCATCAAAATCTTTAAGGCTCATGCATTTTAAGATTCTTTGGCTTATCAAATGTGTAGAAGTCTACAATTAGGGTTAGTAAATCTGTTTTGTATAAAGAAAAATTATGCAGCTTTTGAGCTTATACATTTTGAGGTTTTCAAGCAAATATGTACCTTCTGAGCCTTCTGTCTTCTAAAAATTTTTATGTACCTATACCTTATGAGACTCATAGCCTTCTATGATTTTTAATGTATTTTTACCTTCTGAGGTTTTTGAATGGAGACATTTTTAATCACTTGCTCTCATAGAGTTTTTTATTGAGGACCTTGTCCACTACTAGCTTCCCATAGACTTACCTCCTGGGCTCATCTTTCAGAGGTATGGGCGGAGACCTTGTATGTCACTTGCCCTAAAGAGAACTTTCTAATGAAGAGTGTATCCGTTACTAGCTTCCCATCGAGACTTACATCATGAGCTCATCTTACAGGGATATAAGTGGAGACTTTGTCAGTCACATGCCCTCAAGAACTCTTTCTAGTGAGGAATATATCCATTACTAGCTTCCTATTGTTAAGTGAGAAATGTATCCACTACTAGCTTCCCATTGAGATTTGTCTCCTGGGCTCGTCTTCCAGGGGTATGGTTGGAGACATTATCTGTCACTTGCCCTCATGGGGTTTTTCTACACACAAAATCTTTCATGAAAGAATAAAGAATGTTTCATTGATAATAAAAACAATTCATTGAGCAACAGTTCTTTAAGGAAAAAGGTAAACACTTGCTAAAAATAAAATTAGAAACTTGTATGCAAGGAGGAAAGAAAAAAGTATTTTACTAAAATAAGATAAATTGTAGTTGTGTTTCTCATTCGATAATCTCAATGATTTTCTTATGGTTCTCCTCACCTCGTTTTTGTAAGTAGCAACCTAGTTAACCATGACTTATTAGAAGTTTAATTTCTTCTTTTAAGTGAAAACTTACTCTCTGTTGAATGCTCTTTTGCACGCCGGTATGTGGCACCTAGGCACTGGAGTCTCGATGCTTGCTTTCCACCTTCTTGGGATGAATTCTAGGTCTTTGGGCACGCAAGCACCAAAATGTAGTGCCTAGGCGTTGCTATTGCATCGCCTACTTTCCATCTTCTTTGTCTTTAGAACGAAATTTTAAGCTCAAAGCCCATCATGGGTGCCTGGAGTGCCTAAGCGCTCCAGCCCGCCGCCTAAGCATTAGTCCATTCATTTACATTTTTATGGGGTTTTTTTTAATTCCGATTAATCTTCAATCTTGTATCCTGCATAACACATCTCAAATACCATCCAAAAACATAAAATTAACATAAAAATAGATTAAAATAAATCATAAAAAAATTAATTTCTTAAGCACATCATTTAGTTGAATTGTACTCTTCATCATTATCTAAACTTAGGCAGTTTATTTTCTCCAATTTCATTAATCACTAAACTCTTCTACTTTACAAAAGTAGTAAATAAATCATATTTAATTTCAATAAAATAAATCAATACTTTTATGGTATAATCATTAATTTTGGAGATAAAGTACAAGAATTCTCCTAATGAATAATGGGTGGTGGTCCTCATATATCTGTGTGTGCTAACTAGCTCTCGCCTTTTGGATCTAATTTGCCTCCTAATTTTTTAAAAATTAACCATATTTTTCTGTTTTAATATAATATAATTTTCTTAAAAGGTGATTTCAATACATTTTACACAGAATTTTTTACCTTTACAGTGAGGGATCTTAAAGCCTGGTAGATTTGAATGTTTCTATGTAGTAGTGGCTATTTTTTTGTTTGAATTTTGGTGGTGAAATTAGTGCTCGTCTCATTGCCTAGAATAACCATCAATGAACCTTTCGGTACTTCTCAAGTATTATAATTGAAAGTGGTATTGTATCCTTCCTAACTTTATTTATCTTTTGGGTATTAATTCTTAAGCAAATTTGAAACTTGCTTCTATTATGATTTAGTTGAGGGTTTTCATCATGAAATTTTGACCTGCCCCTCTATTTATTATTGCCAATATTTTAAAATATGCTTCTATTGTCAAATTTTTAAAACAGAATATGACAAAATTTAACTTCTTTAATGTCACCTAATATCCTCACTAAAGAACTTTGACATCCTAAAAAGAACAAGGGCAGGAAAGCATGCTCCACACAATAGTGAAATACGAAACCAGATGCTGCTGCCACACTTAATGAAGCAAACATTTTTTTTTCGAGCAAGTTGAGCACTCCAACTCGGCATTTGGAGATTTTTTACTTTGTTTCCAACCAATCCGCCACCACAGTTAATGAAGCAGAAGGTGAAACGATTTTTATTGGCATAAATTAATTGAACTCAACTTACAACTTGTATAGGATTACAATAACATCTTCTTGAATGTTTTCAACAGAAATTTGACAAAGTTGAAGCAACATTGCTAGTTGGTGCAAAGCACTGCAAAGAAAGGAGTGTGCATTGCGCCATAGCCGAGAAACAAATGGCCGGTTATGCCTCCATTCCACACTTCCCATCGTTTAAGTATAGCATAAGGGCTCAAGCTCGTTTAATAAAAAAAATAATTTCTTTCTGACTGATTCTAATGAAACCAGATCTTATTGCCTTCACTTCAGGAAAAAAGATGCTGCTGACGAACTGAGAAAATGTATTCATGGGGCTCTATCAAAAGGCAAAGTGTCATTATAGCAAATATCCCAGATAGCATCAATGGCATCCTTTGCAGCAATTTCAGAGCAGTATGGATTACTTTTAACTGACTTGAGAGCTCGCCTTTTTACACAGTCCTAATAAGGTAAATTGCATGAAGATCTGAAGGGAAAAATTTGCAAGCAAGGGAGCTAGCAGAAAATTTTATTGGTTAAAAAAAAATAAATTCTAGGTAATTTATAGCATGCGCTTTTAAGTGCATTTGGGTAAAAAAACTCACCTGTTCATGTCCACGCATTCTCATGAACCCTCTCAGCAATTCACGTTTATAATGACAATCGCCACTAAGATGGTTAGCCCTGATCTATAAAGAATATTGCTTAGACAATTCATAATACTAGAGCTATGAGAAATGGCAAAATAAGAACATGAATGCAACAGGAAATACTTGAATGAATTGTATGCAGAGTTGAAGTTGAAAGAAGCAATTAATTTGAGTAAGTCTACAAACATATCAAAAAGTTTTGGATTACCTCAGTGCAAGCATGATGAGCGCAATTTTTCCAATCCATGTTCTTAGCACGACAGTCATCATAAGCATGAATCAGTTCATGTATGAGAACTTGATTAATCTCATCTTGGTAAGCCAGATGATTACAGCAAACTATAATCTGAAATATAAGAATAACGAGCAAGCTACAAGTTAATAAAAACCATAATAAGTTTAACATGGAACATCAAAACAGCTATACTGTATTACTTCCATTCCTTGTACCATGTAAAACGGAAGTGAATTAGGTTGGAGAGACACCTATCTGGACAAATATTACACAAACTTATAAAAATTCATAGTAATATTTTCACAAAAGTGGTCATGATTTTGCCAAACAAGATAGCAGGTGATTATTCAAAATGTACAGCTTTGCTCCTTTAACTTCTACAGTGAAACAAGCCAAGCTCCTGTATTTCAAACTCCCATTTTAAAACAGGAAGAAAAGTCTTACATAAAGGTCTTAGAAAGTCATATTATCACTATCCCTGCATTTCATCCTCATCCGATAATTTTCTAATGATATGATCTGAACATCATAATGATACCACCATTGTATGACTAAATACTTATAGCTTGTTCCATGTCTATATCTGCATAGAGTTGGCACATCCTCAAACTCAAGTCAGGTCATGCATATTTGAGTGTCAGCACGGCCAATTAAGTGGATTGATTAGTCAAGCCTACAACCCATCCATGATAGTAGTCAACTCAGAATGCAACTAGGATAGCTCGCTGATTCAACAACTCAGGTATGGTAATTCTTCAACTCAACAAGTTTAAGCACGATTTCTATTTAGATCGTCGACTTGACTACTCGTCAATTCAACGCCCTATCAGGTTAGAAGATACGCTATACCATTTACGTGTTTTATCTTTTCTTTGTGTAGCCAATTATGTAACATAATCAATATCAACCAAGACTCAAAAATTGGGGGTCAAGATTGATATACAGTTACACAATCAGATAAACTTAACCTTGCTACAAACTCTTTGTAATCATTTTCTTTTGAAAAAAAAATCCCATAGCCTTTCTCTCTCTTGACTTTTCTCACTCGAATACTTGTCTATGTGGTGTGAACCCATGTGCAATTTAGAATGCAGCAACCATATATGACAATGTAGAATTTAGGAGGAACTTTCTTAGGGGAAAAACACTTTAATTTCTCATTAAGCAAATAACTAATACACATACTAACCCTCTTACAATTAGAGGGAAATTCAAATAATCATACTAAAAAGGAAAGAAATAAAACACAATAATGAATAAGGGAGAATAATTTATCCCCTCAAATGTCACAATGGAGACATGATTTTCTAAATCGTGTGCATATCAACACTCCTAAAGTCGGGTTGTATTGTGACACATGATTTTCTAAACCGTGTGCATATCAACACTCCTAAAGTCGGGTTGTATTTGTCATACATCCCAAACTTGCTGCTGAGATCACTAAAATGGTGTCAATAAAAAATCTTTATAAGAATATCAACAATAAAATACTTAGTTCAAATATAACTTAACAAAACAACCTCTCTATTGTCCTTCTTAGAGATGAAGTGCCTGTCAATCTCTATACGTTTGGTAAAATCATAATGTACAAAATACTTTGAAATACGAATGGTTTATTGACTGTCACTAAATATCTTAATTGTATTTTGGTTCTCCATGTGAAATTACAGTATTTTTAGCCACATCCCTTCACAATATCCCAGAGTCAGGGGACGATACTCAAATTCTGCATTGTTTCTTGCTACCACAACTTGCTTTTTTTACTTCTCCAAGTAACAAGTTTAACCCCATACAAATTAACAGTAACTTGTGGTAGATCTTTTATCAATTAGTTATCTTGCCTAGCTGACATCAGTGTGGATCTCAATGTCACAGTTTTCAGTTTTCTTGAATATCAAACCACGTCCTGGAGTCATCTTCAGATACCTCAGGATTCGAAAAACTGTTTCTTAAATAATCATTTGGATCGTTCATATGCTGACTCACTACATCCATAAAAAAAATAATGTCAGGTATTGTATGTGACAAATAAACAAGTTTCCCCACCAATCATTGATACCTCCCTTTTTCAACTGGATTGTTATCATCTCCTTTTGATGCTCGTCGATTAGGATCCATAGAAGTATTGGTTGGTTTGCATCACAACAATCAGGTTTTCTTTAATAAGTTAATGATATAATTTCTTTGGGATATGACAATGTCGTCTTTGAATCTGGCTACTTCAATACCCAAGGTATCTTAAAGTTACAAGATCTTTGATCTCAAACTCAGAAGTTGTTATTCTTTTGATTGTTTTAAAATTTCTTTACATAACTGTCTGTAAAAATAATGTCATCTACATATACAATAAGGATGACTATCATACCTTCTTGATTTGATTTCACAAATAAAGTGTGATCAACTTGACAACTGGTAGTATCCATTGGCAAGAATAGACTTGGTGAACCTTTCAAACCATGCTCTGAGATATTGTTTCAACCAATACAATAATTTCTTTAGTTTGCACACCATATAATTAGTTGTTCTTTAATCATAGCGATATCTCCATATATACTTCTTCCTTAAGATCCCCATTAAGATTTTTAATATCTAATTGATGTAAATGTCAGTCCTGGTTGACAACAGTGACAGTAATACTCTTACGTGTTGAGTTTCGCCACTGGTGCAAATGTCTTCTGGTAGTTGATCCTATAAAACAAATGTATTTTTAATATCTAATTGATGTAAAGGTCAGTCTTGGTTGACAACAATGACAGTAATACTCTTACGTGTTGAGTTTCGCCACCGGTGCAAATGTCTTCTGGTAGTTGATCCTATAAAACTGAGTGAACATTTTTGCTACAAGTTTATCCTTGAACCTTTTTGTGCTCCCATCGACTTTGTATTTGACAATGAATACTCATTTTCACCCTACAGTTCTATTCCCATGTGACAAAGTTGTTATGATCCAGGTACCATTCCTTTCAAGGGAAAGAATCTCTTCTTCCACAATTTTTTTCTAAGAAGGAATAGATAAGGCCCTTTGGATTGAATTTGGGACTTACACGTTACCAAGTCCTGAACAAAATATCTGTAAGAGGATGATAATTTTTCATAGGTCACAAATTTTTCTATTGGGTGTTTTGTGCATTCTTGTGCTCTTTTTCCACTTAGTGTTCATGATGTGTTGACCTAACCTCTGTGTAAATACTTGGGGTGTGTGGAGTTGGTTTCAGTCATTGGCATTCCGGATTTTGCACATTGTTCCTTGCATGCTCATTAGATTTATTCTTTATGGTGTACACACGAAATTCTTAATCCTTCAAGGGAGCTGTGCGAGGATTTAGTGGACTAGTAGGTTCATTTTTCAGGTTGATTTGTGATAGTGGGGACAAGAGTGGGTTCATCAAGAATATAAAGGATGTGATCTTGACGTTCTTAAATAGTACCCCAAATCTGACACTCTCTCCAACTCTCCCTCTAAATGTTAGATTTGGGGTAATATGATTGGTTTTCGAAGAAGGTGACATCCATGGAGTTGTAAAATTTGTGTTTTTGGATAGTAATATTTATATCCCTTTTGTTTGAAGAGTGATCAACAAAAATGCATTTGATTGACCTAAGATCAAGTTTGGTTTGATGTGGTTGATATAGATGAACAAAAGCGATGTAACCAAAAAGTTTTAATAGTAGGTTAGAGCTAAAAGGCTGAATATGGGAGTAGGATTTTATCAGTGTTAAGATGTTTGTTAAAATTTAGCACTCTGCTAAACATCCTATTTATGAAATAAGTGGAGGTGTTACAACCCCTAAGAAGTGTTTGGGTACATTGTTAGTGAATATAATTGAATGGACCACTTCGAGGGGATGTCTGTTTTTTTCTCTTAGTCGCATAATTTTATTGAGGTGTGTCAATACAAGAGCTTATATGAATAATGTTATTTTTGGATAGATAAGGGCCGAAAGTATAGTTGAAATAGTCTTTTGCATTATCAGTTTTGAGAATTTGAATTTTTCTTTGAAATTGGGTGAGGATCATGTTGTGGTGGGTTTCAAATGTGTTAGCAGTTCTAATTTTTTGTTTCATGAGAAAGATCCAAATGATTTTGATGTGATCATCAATGAATGTGACAGACCACAGCCTCAATTATATTCTTTATTTTTGAGAACCCCCATATATCACTACGAACCTTGGATAATTGATCTGTAGGTTTGTATTTCAGATTTGGGTACACTTGTCGAGTATGTTTAGCAAGTTGGTAAGTTTCACACAGATAAAAATTAGGATTTTTATTGATAAACAAATGGGGATATAATTTTTTGATAAAATATAAGTTAAGATACCCAAAGCGAAAATGTCATAATATAACTTGACTCTCGTGAGAAACAGACTCAGATCTAAGACTTGACTCAAAGGATTGTAAATGATGGGACGATCCTTTTGAAGTGAGAGTCCTAGTGAGCAGATAAAGTTCATGATACATATCAACACTGTTAATCACCTTCCCCGAGTTCATCACCTATAATTCACACAAATTAGGGTAGAATTTAGTAACACAATTCATTTCATGAGTAAGTTTACTTACAGATAGTAAATTGCAATTAAGATTAAGAATATAAAACACAAATTGAAGAATAAGGTCCTTTGTAAGTTTCACACTTTCTCTTCCTTCCACAGATGAAAGGAAGTCATCTGTGATTCTAACTAAAGCAAGAAGCTTGCAAGAATGGAAGGATTGAAAAGTAATGATAACACTTCTCATGTGATCAGATGCTCTAGAGTCCACTCTCCAAGGCTGATTATTTTTGCTAAGGGAACAAAGAAAGATGGAAGTCTACCTTGGTGTGTTGGAAGGCTGGTAGAAAGCTTAGAATATTGTCCCAGAATCCTTTGGAGAGCTTCAAGTTGTTTCTTACTAAATGGACAATGTTCATGAGACTTGTCTTCTTTTGATGTTGTGTTTGCCTGATTTTTCCCATCACCTTCGACTTTGTTGGGCTTCCAATCTACAGGTTTTTCGTAAATTTTAAAATACTTCTTCAGATGACCAAGCTTCTTGCAATGTTCACACCATGACTTGTTCCTATTTGATTTGTTGTTTTGAGATGATTTGTGAGTGTATAAAGCCGAG